GATCATGTCATATTTCAAGTACGACTTTGATTACATTTGTTTGTAAATATTATACATATTTTTAATGCAATCATAAATATATAATTTATAATTTATCATTATATAATATGTGTATAATGATTGACGACACTAATAAATGTGTGCATCACGAGTGTTACCATATTACTAATAAACATTATTCAAAATGTTTATATGATGTATTTATTTTTACTCAACTTAAATTTGCTACAATATAATTGCAAATAAGTTTTACTTCAATCGCGTGTGATCCTTACGCGCACTCTTTTTTTTTCAGGGGGTGTCTACGTCTATGGTCTCTACATGGACGGCGGTGGTTTGGAAAGACGTCTTGGTCGTATGTGCGAACCCATCAGCAAAATTTTGTACTGTGTCATGCCAGTGGTGCATATCTATGCCATCAACTCTGTGGCTCCGAAGGACCCTAAACTGTACATGGTAAGTGATAGACATATGGCCGATTCTGTCTTAAAATAGACCAATGTTATGGCAAGGCTATGTTGTACTTAAAACTATTATATGCTATGTAGTTTAGTCAAGCGTTTTAGATAGACAACCTAACCTAGAAACGCACAATCTGCATCTTTGTGAATCTGTATCATACCAGATAACCCGGCAAACGCTGTTTTGCTAAGTAAGGTATATTCTAAACTTTATAGATAATCAAAAATATTAATACTTTTAGTGTATAAGGACGTGTTATTTGAATGCTATATACAATGAGTATTATAAAAACAATAAACCCCATTAGTTTGTCTATATTTTGTCTGGAAGTTTTATACACTTTCTATAGAAAACATGGTATAATCCAATCCAAGTTTTTTTAGTTTCAACTTTTTCAGATTCTTTTTGGATTCTAAATTTTGTGTATAATTGTAAAAAATACTACTGAGATTATACAAAATTTTCAAATTTCTGCACAACAAATGACACATTTCAAACGAACAATTATCTGACTACGTTTAGTAAAACTCCCAGCTACTTCATCATTGTAGAAATGTGCTTTTTTGATGTTTTTCAAAAATTTGTTATCTAGACCTTTTTACCCTATAGGCGGGGTAATTTGGAACGGCCAGGTGGCAAACAGGTTTAATGTTTTTTTTAATTTTAAAGGTATTTTACAAAATAATTACACTTTTAAATAATGCTAAAAAACTACCAACGGAAAAAAATACTCGGTTTCAAATCAAGGTTATAGCTGGTTATACATCTTTTTCCCTCTACTTTCAAATATTGTTGTTGAACGATGCTAAACTTTACTGGTTTTTGACACATCGGTGGTGGGCCTTTTTAACCCCAGACCTTCATATATTACTATTTATTCTTCGATAAATTCTGGGAAATTATAACTGCGAAAATGTTATTCGACAAAATGTCCCTTTGATCGATACCAAATTTAGGTTCTGAATTTAAATAACATAAATAAAAAATAATATAACTTAGACAATGTTTTATAAATAGCAATGAGTATATTATTATACAAATGAGATATTTCAGAGAACCGTGCTTGAGAAAATATGCCAAAAAGTGCATTTTCATATTAACTTTCAAAAAAGTTGATATTTTGAGTTTATAGTAACACTGCGGCCTGTTTACTAACGTTCTTGTGTATAAATAAAACTACAAACAAAACTACTTACTGCAATTTAATCATAATTAAATAATATTCACGTAAAACTTTGTATTAAACGTAATTGAACATCATCTATCAAAAACACGGTTTGACATTTGACGTATTAGCCACCGTCCATTGTTTTATTCAAAATACGCTTTTGCAAAATGTTCAAATTAAAAATGTAAAGTTTGTACGCGATTTTGAAATA